AGATGGTGATGATGATTCAGATGATGATTCTGATAATGATGATGATGGTGATGATGATGATGACGATGACGATGCTGTCGATGATGATGATGCTGATGATGACGCTGATGATGATGCTGATGATTATGATGAGGATGATGATGATGATGATGATGATGATGATGATGCTGCTGATGATGATGATGCTGGCGATGCTGATGACGACGATGCTGATGCTGATGATGATGCTGCTGATGCTGATGATGCTGATGATGATGCTGAGGATGATAATGTCGCTGTTCATGATTATGATCATGATGATGATGTTGATGATGCTTACTATCATGATGCTGACGGTGATGCTGCTGATGATGATGATGCTGATGTTGATGCTGATGCAGATGATGCTGATGATGATGCTGCTGATGATGATGATGCTGATGATGATGATGCTGCCGATGATGATGATGATGATGATGATGATGATGATGATGATGACGGTGATGCTGATGATGATGCGGAGGAGGAGTAGGAGGAGGAGGAGGAGGAGAATGACGAGGAGGAGGACGAGCAGGGGGAGGAGCGGGAGGACTAGTATGTGTGTATTGTGTTGTGTTGTGTTGTGTTGTGTTGTGTTGTGTTGTGTTGTGTTGTGTTGTGTTGTGTTGTGTTGTTTCGTGTCGTGTCGTGTCGTGTCGTGTCGTGTCGTGTCGTGTCGTGTCGTGTCGTGTCGCCGTGTCCGTGTCGTGTCGTGTCGGTGTCGTGTCACGTGTCCGTGTCCGTGTCGTGGTCGTGTCGTGTCGTGTCGTGTCGTTGTGTCGTGTTCGTGTCGTGTTGTGTGTGTGTGTGTTGTGTTGGTTGTGTTGAGGTTGTGTTGTGTGTGGTGTGGTGTGGTTGGTGTGTGTGGTGGGTGTGGTGTGTGTGGTGTGTTGGTTGTGTTGGTGTGTGTGGTGTGGTGTGGTGGTGGTTGGTGCGGTGGTTGGGTGTGGTGTGGTGTGTGTGGTGTGGTGTGGTGTGGTTGGTGTGGGGTGGGTGTGTGTGGTGTGGTGTTGTGAGGTGTGGTGTGGTGTGGTGTGTGTGTGTGTGTGTGTGTGTGGTGTGTGTTGTGTGTGTGTGTGTGTGTGTGTGTGAGTGGGGGGGTGAAGTGGTGGTGGGCGGTCGGTTGGGTGGGTGTGGGTGGGTAGGTGGGGTGGGTGGGTGGGGAGGTGGTGTGGGTGGGTGGGCGGGGGGTGGGTGGGTGGGTGGCTGGGTTGGGTGAGGGTGGGGGGGTGTGGGTGGGTGGGAGTGGATGTGGGGTGGTATGGCTAGGTTGGTGGGGGGGTGGGTGGTTGGGTGTAAATTGGTTGTGTGTGTGGTTGTATGTGTGTGTGTGGTGTGTGGGTGTCCTGGGCGTGCGTGTGTGCGTGCGTTCGTGCGTGCGCGCGTGGGCGCGCGCGCGTGTGTGTGTGTGTGTGTGTGTGTGTGTGTGTGTGTGTGTGTGGTGTGTGGGTGGTGTGTGTGTGTGTGTGTGTGTGTGTGTATGTGTTATGTGTTGTGTGTGTGTTTGTGTGTATGTGTGTGTGGGTGGGGGGGGGCGAGGGGGCAGGAAGAGGAGAGGAGGAGGAGAGGCTATGAGGAGAGGAAAGAGGTGGAGGAGGAGGAGAGGAGGAGTAGAGGACGAGAGGATGAGGAAGAGGAGGAGGAGGAGGAGGAGGAGGAGGAGGAGGAGCAGGAGGAGGAAGAGGAGGGGGGGGGGAAGGAGGGGGGAATGATGGAGGGGACGAGGCGTGCGGAGAGGAGGATGGGGTAGATGAGGAGGAAAAGGGGAAGGAGAAGGAGGAGGAGGAGGAGGAAGAGGAGGACTACGAGGAGGAGCAGGAGGAGGAGGAGGAGGACGAGGAGGAGGAGAAGGAGAAGGAGGAGAAGGAGGATCAGCGTGAACCCAATACTCATCAACGATATTGCACTAATCCCTCCCTCCAAGTTTCCTCATCGTAGGCCCCATACAAGGAGGAATCATGTTCACTGAGGGAAGTGCCCCGTTGGACGACAACCGTCTGAAAATCCGGAGCTGTACCCGACCACCGTTCCTGGGACTTCAACGAGGCGAATCACCGCTTTTGTACCTGTTCTGTTGCGTCTTGACGATCCTGCATCGGGGCAGAACACCGTTCAGGGGACTTCAATACCGCGAATCAACATGACTGTTGCGCCTTGACGTCTTGACTTCGTGCCAAAACGCTATGTCTGGGACGTACAACCATGATAGCCGTTGGAACTGCTGTACTGGTTTAAGACGATTGTGCGCGGCGCTAAAACGAGAACCACATTTTGAAGTGGAGCAACCCCCCATCCGTGAAACCCATGCATTTTTCGAAGACGAATGTGCGCGGCGCGTGGGCGGGAACCACAATTTGAAAGCGGGCCGCCCTCCATCCGTGAAGCTCTGGCGATTGTTTCAAACGAGTGTGCGCTGCGTGCGCTTAGGCGAGAGCAACTTTTTGAAAAGGAGCCGCCCTCCATCCGTAACACCCTTGCAGAATTTAAGACGAGCGTGCGCGGTGCTAAGGCGAGAGCCGCATTTAGAAAAGGAGCCGCCCCCCATCGGTGAAGCGCAGGCAATTGAACACAAACGAATGTGCGAGGCGCTAGGGTGGGAACCACAATTTGAAAGCGGGCCGCCTTCGATCCGTGAAGCTCTGGCGATTGTTTCAACCGAGTGTGCGCGGCGCTTAGGCGAGAGCCACACGTCGAAAAGGAGCCAGCCGTCATTTGTGAAGCTTGTACAAGTTTTTAAGACGAGTGTGCGCGGCGCAAAGGCGAGAGCCGCATTTTGAAAGCGGGCCGCCCTCCATCCGTGAAGCTGTTGCAAGTCTCAAGCTGCAGGATCCTACATGGTGACGAAGTCTCAGGCGACATGCCCGGCCCGCCGTTTCGACTGGCTTCGGGGCGCAACTGGGAGCAGTATTCAAAAGGAAAACGAATGGATGAGGAGGATGCGGAGGGGGATGAGGAGGACGAGGGGGAGGAGGGAGGAGGAGGGAGGGAGGAGGGAGGAGGGAGGAGGGAGGGAGGGGGAGGGGGGAGGAGGGAGGAGGGAGGAGGGAGGGAGGAGGGAGGAGGAGGACCATACCCGCCTCGAGCGGTTGTGGCAGCGCGCCGACCTCCACAGGGGAGGACAACCGCGACCTCATCCTTGCGTTGCCGACCCTGGGCAGCCATTTCCCCTCACATCGCCTCCCTCACTCCGCAATGCTTCTTCTACTTTCCTCACGTCTTGCCGACCTCGCGACGGCATCGCAGCAGCTCAGCAAATCCAGACAGCGTCGAGAACGCGATCGCAGGACTTATATTCTTCGGTCACACGAATGCTCAAGTTCTCACGTATATGTTGTCATTGAAAGGGCTTCAGAGTTTCTCTGGTTCCTCACACGGCTTGGAGTTTCAAGAGCACATTCACCTCTGCGACTGCTTGTCTGCTGTATGTCAACTACCGAATTCTACTCCTGTGGCTTCACACCCAGTACCTCCGCCGCCTCAATTTACTCCCAGGGTTCAAGAAGACGTCAGAAGCAGTCGATAATGATCTTAATTGGGAAACGCCCGTGCAACCCATCCGACTGCATCAATCACACAGAGCAAATGGACACTCCAATTGATTTTGTTGGCGCTCCCCCCAGCGGGGCTGGTGTGTCTGGGAGTCTCTCGAGTCCACAGGACTCTGGCTCGCGAGGACGAAAGTACGCCCCATGATGATTCCAAAGAGGAGTCCGCGCAGCATGTGGCGCAAGGCCGACACTGCTCCGCCGAATGGAACAGTGCGCGGGACCAGTCTTGTGCTCGGAACCCCTCTGGCGAACAACCAGACTCCGACGTTCTACAACGATGGTTCAAACTCGTGTGCGAGCATCCCCGGCACATCGCACAGCTCGCGCAGGAGACTGACGACGCCGAAAGGCCGGGTGCGCCGCTGCAGGACCGCACCCCGATCACATCGTGCACGTTTCCGCCCACTCCCGAGCCCGGGCCCCCCCCCCTCAATCCGAGAAGCCATGGCGCAGTATGGATGGACGACCAAGGCCAACTTGTCACACAGATGTTGACGCGTGGTTGGCTGGCCTACGACTGTCGAGGCGCTGCGATCGGCATTGTTTGCGCATCCACTAGCGCAGGAAGCACGATTTTCGCCAAGCGCTGACGTGGGCGGCCAGGTCGGTGTTGGGATGGGGGCTCCGCCTGCCCGCCCACGGGCCCCCCTTTGCCGCCTGGGCCGTTGGTGGCTGGGACGGGGGTGCCGCCTTCCCGCCCGCGGGCCCCAGCCATCTTATTTTGGACAATTTTGCTTCTCGATCGCGCGCGTCTCGCCCGCGGGTTGTTCATCCAATTCAGTCACCTGGGAACGTTCCCCCTCTCTGTTGTCAGCTGGATCTTCATTTTGATGATTCATGCCGGACGCTTGGGAACGTTCCCCCCTCTGTTGCCGCGTCCTTCCTTCTCAGTGGTGGGGGTGGGGGTGCCGCCTTCCCACTTTCAGGCCCCCGCCGCATCGGACAGCGAGGAAAATTGATAGCCATAGATAATTTCTCAACGTGTGTATCCCGTTGTCTCCTTTTCTAATAAGGCCCCTCTGGGCAACATTTTCCAGCTCGCAGTTTCGTGGCAATTTTGCGCCGGCCGGGGGGTGGGGAAGCCGAGCCGCGCATGCCGGCCGCGCCCCTGGCAGAAGGAAGAGGGGGAGGAGGTGGTGGCGGAGCAGGGGGGGGAGGACATCACTTCGCAGTCTCACTTTTCGCTGTCATTCTTGCGCGCTCGCCAGTGCACGTGCATTCTGCGGGCACCTCGTGGTCAGAGAGGACAAGATCGCACTCGGGTCCGCGCGCGCCGTGGGGCATCCAGTATTCAATTGGTGCATCCAGTAATCAATTTCCAACCTCACACCTTGCAAGTGCGCGGCCGTTGCCTCGAGGAATGGGTTGGGGGGTTGGGCGTGGGTTGGGGGTTGGTCATGGGGAAGGGCAGGCAGGCGCAAGAAAACGCTGCTAGCGCACCAAGCGGTGCATTCAGTATTGGAATTTATTGCCGAACTCTTTCGCGCCATGCTTCTGTCCCACGGGGGAGGCCCACGCTAATTCATTTCAGCCTTCGGCCGCGCTGCTCCCAGCAGCATAACACACCGCAAAAGGCCCAGTCTTGGAAGCTGGTGGGCTGGAGGTAGGGTGGGTGGAGGGGGGGGACTGACCAGCGCGAGAATGAGCTGCTAACGCGTCGAGCGGTGCATCCCGTTTTTGAATTCTTGCCGAACTCTTTCGCGCCTGGCTTCAGTCCGTGGAGAGGAGCCCACACTAATTCATTTCAGCCTTCGGCCGCGCTGCTTCCAGCAACATAACGCACCGCAAGAGGCCCCAGTCTTGGAGGGGGATGGGATGGAGGCAGGGGGAGCTTTGTGCGGGTCGGGGGAAGATTAGAACATGGCAGCTATCGTATCATGCCGCGTCCTTTTTGTTTAATACAAACGCTGCCCTTGCCATCCAGTATAGACTGAGCCAGCCTTCAGCCTGCGTGAAATTAGTGCCCGAGACCCTTTCGATTGAAGACCCTCGGCGAGGGCAGCGGTTAATTGTAGTCGGGTTTGGAGGTGAGGGGAGGGGGACGTCGGCGGTGGAGGAACGCTCACTTCCATTCGGTATCGCGCCACAGCTGTTGCTCCCAGTTTACGCCTCCACAGGCCAGCCCGCAGGGCCCAGCCTTAACCTCCCACCGACAGCGAGGAGAGTTTGCCAGGCCAGCCACCTAGGCGCCAGCCTACAAGCAGCAGTCACAAAGGCATCGTGCTAAACCCGAGACGAAGTGGCAGAAAACACGCGGCCCCAGGTCCAGGTGGTTAATTAGGGGTAAACCCAGCAACCCTGGGTAGCAACCCAAGACTTGCCGCCAAGCTTGCACCCATCATCTTGAGTCTCACGTTTTTCAGTGTAAACCCATCAGCTCTTGCTTGTTTACTGCGCCATAATTGTTCTTGCCTTTCATTTGCGATCTGAGGCAGTGCGCACCATTGAGTCTTACGGAGCAGGAGCTTTGCTTTCTATTATAATTAAGTGCGGAGGGGGCCATTACCAAGCTGTGCTGGCCTCTCGTGCCGGACGGGCGCCTACTCTTTCTTTACATTTGCCGCCGTCCTTTTCCTACAGCTGTTCCTTCGGCGCCCGCCAAGTACTCTGTGCCCCGAGTCTTGTTTTTTGTTGGTGTTCTTTCTTTTGCCCCTCTCTTAGTAGTTCAAGAACGCCACATGGGAACCTTAGGTTGGTCTAGCGTGGAAGGAAGAGGAGGAGAAGGAGGAGGAGGACGAGGAGGAAGAGGAAGAGGAAGAGGAGGACGAGGAGGAGGGATTCTGATGATCATGCTGATGCTGATGCTGCTGATGATGATGATGATGATGAGGAGGATGAGGAGGATGATGATGATGGTGATGCTGATGATGATGATGATGTCATGGTGATGATGATAATGATGATGATGATGGTGATTATGATGATGTCATGGTGATGGTGATGGTGATGGTGATGGTGATGGTGATGGTGATGGTGATGGTGATGGTGATGGTGATGGTGATGGTGGTGATGATGATGCTGATGATGATGATGATGATGATGATGATGATGATGATGATTATGATGGTGCTGATGATGAGGAGGAGGAGGAAGAGGAGGAGGAGGAGGAGGAGGAGGAGGACGTGGAGGAGGAGGATGAGCAGGAGGAGGAGGAGCAGGAGCAGGAGGACGAAGCCAGCCCTCAGGCTCGGAGGACGGGCTCAAGCGCTCTCGGGAGGGCACCATGGCCGAGAATCCGGACGCGCTGCGGGGGGGCGAGGGGAGGCGCGCGCCCGGCCTGCCCCCGCCCTCCTGGCAGCAGCGGGATGGGCGGCGGGGAGGGGCGCAGCTCGGCGAGGAGGCGAGGGAGGGAGGAACCAGGAGGCGAGGGAGGCGAGGGAGGGAGGGAGGGAAGGACGGAAGGAGGGAGGGAAGGAGGGAGGAGGAGGAGGCGGAAGAGGAGGAGGAGGAGGAGGAAGGAGGGGAGGGAGGAGGACTAAACGAGCAGGAGGAGAATGAGGAGGAGGAGCAGGCACAGATCGCAAGCTCTGCAAACCCCGGGGCCTGACTTAAAGAGCCTGTCTCCTCCTCCTTCCATCTTACCTCCTTTTCCCCTTGCGCACAAAATGCGGGTGGGGGGCAGGATGGGCAGGTGGGAGAGATAGACGGCAGGACGGACGACGCACGACGGACGACGACGAGGAGGACGAGGACGAGGACGAGGAGGACGAGGACGAGGACGAGGACGAGGATGAGGACGATAATGATAATGCTGATGACGATGATGATGATGACCCATGATGATGCTGATGATGATGATAATGAGGATGAGGATGATGCCGATGATGACGAAGATGATGATGCTGATGATGCTGATAACGATGACGATGACGATGACGATGATGATGGTGGTGATGATGCTGATGATGCTGATGATGCTGATGGTGTGCTGATGCGAGTGACGATGATGAAGTTGGTGATGCTGATGCTGGTGCGGCTGCTGCTGGCGATGACGATGATGCGTAGGATGATGATGATGATACTGCCGATGTTGCTGCTGCTGATGATGATTCTGGTGATGCCGATGCTTACGATGATGATGATGGTGATGATGATTATGATGATGGTGGTGATGCTGATGATGCTGATGATGCTTACGATGAAGATGGTGATGATTATGTTGCTGCTGCTGTTGCTGATGATGACGATCGTGGTGGTGATGCTGATGCTGGCGATGACGAGGATGATGACAACGCCGAAGATGGTGATGGTGATGGTGATTCTGGTGATTCTGTTTATGGTGGTGCTGATTGTGATGGTGATGGTGATGGATCTTGTGATGGTAGTGGTGGTGATGGTGATGGTGTTGATGGTGACGGCGACGATGATGACGATGACGATGCTGCTGATGATGGTGATGATCATGCTGATGCTGAAGACGATGATGCTGATACTCATAATGGTGGTGATGGCGCTGATGAGGATGATGATGATGATGATGGTGATGGTGATACTGATTATCCTGCTGATGCTGATGATGACGCACATGAGGACCATTATGATGTTGACCGTGATGGTGATGGTGACGGTGGTTGCGATGGTACTGGTGGTGGTGATTGTGATGGCGATACTGGTGCTGCTTGTGATGATGCTGCTGCTGATGATGATGATGATGACGATGACGATGATGCTGGTGATGATGATGTTGATGCTGATGATGATGATGATGGTGATGGTGATGCTGATGCTTGTGGTGTCCTGATGTGAATGACGATGGCGAAGTTGGTGATGCTGATGGTGGTGCGGCTGCTGCTGGCGATGACGACGGCGACACAGGCGAAGACTGTGATGCTGCTGATGCGTAGGATGACGACGATCATGATACTGCTGATGTTGCTGCTGCTGATGATGATTATGGTGATGCCGATGATGATGATGATGATGATGATGATGATGATGATGATGATGCTGATGCTGATGCTGATGCTGATGCTGATGATGCTGATGCTGATGCTGATGCTGCTGATGATGATGATGGTGCTGATGCTGATGCTGCTGATGATGATGCTTATGATGAAAATGGTGATGATTATGCTGCTGCTGCTGCTGATGCTGATGATGACGATCGTGGTGGTGATGCTGATGCTGGCGATGACGAGGATGATGACAACGCTGATGATAGTGAAGGTGATGGTGATTCTGGTGATTATATGATGATGGTGGTGCTGGTTGCGCATAGTAGATCACAGGAGATGACGAGCCAGCACGTTGTTGCGCTCCTACGGGGAGCCGCAACCGCGCGGTGCAGCCGCAACGGTTGCCCGATGGTCCGACACACCCTGTTGAGTTTGCACCCCGTCGCGCGGGTGTGACGGCCACTGGTGACTTGAGAGCGACTCAAGCCAGGCAGTCCGGGCTTGAGGACGGACGAGGCAAGGCGACTACATAGGTGATGGCCCATGGATCGTCATCACCCAGAGAAGGAGGACTTGATGAACCACGCCTCCGTGAAGCATGCCTCCTGTGGCACGCCTCCGTGAAGCACGCCTCCGGGAAGCACGCTGCGATGAAGCATGCCATGATGAAGCTAGCCTGATGAGGTGCCCCCGTGATGAAACACTCCCCGATGAGAAACTCCATGATGAAGCCTTCACGACGGTGAAAGCATTCCACGATGCATCACCCCGCAATGAAGCTTTCCAGGAGGCGCTTTGATGAACAACTCCACGATACCGCTGTCCTCGCCGAAGCACTCCGTGGTGAAGCACCCACCGGGAAACACTCCTTGGTGAAGCACTCCTTGGTGACGCGCTCCATGTGAAGCATTCCTGTGTGAAGCACTCCTTGGTGAAGCACTCCGGTAAACACGCCTCCACGAAACACACCAGCGGGACGCGCGCCTCATTGAGGCGCGTCGCATACAAACATGTGTCCGTGAAGCACGCTTCCGATGAAGCGCGCCGCAATGGAGCACCCCAGAAGAAGCCCTCCACGATGTACCATTCCACAACGAGTCTTTGCACGACGAGGAAGCCCTCGATGAAACCTTCCCCGATGAAGCCCGCCTCGACGAAGCACGCGCGTAATTGGTGAACCACGCCACGATGAAACACTCCGCTTGGTGAATCTTGCCTCCGTGAAGCACGCCACGATGAAACATGCCACATTGAGACACGCCTCTCCGATGAAGCACGCCGCAATGAAGCCCCCCAGGGGTCCCTCTTCGATGATATACGCCTCCTGAAGCACGCCACCACGATGTGAAGACCACGATGAAGGCTTCCACGACGGAGCCCTCGAGGGAGACTTCCGTGACGTACCACTCCACGATGAAGCACGCTACTCCCTGAGGACACACGCCTCCGTGAAGCACGCAACGTTGGAACACGCCGCGATGTAGCACGCCCCGATGACGCACCCAACAGCGAAGCACCACCCACGCAGCCTTCCCCGATGGCACGCTCCGTGGTGAAATGCCCCACGATGGTGCGCACCCAGAATATTCACAACACTATGACACATAGCGCTTGTAGCCAAGTTGAGAGCGCGAGACTGCGCACCAGGAAATCACGAGGTTGATCACATAACATTGCTGGCACAGTGGCACCAGATGGAAAGGGCAAGCCCATGTACTGCCTGGCGCCGACGCCGCCATCGTACGAGGCACAAGTGGAGCCCAGCCAGAAGAGGTGGTCCTCCATCCAAGAGCGTGACGCGCGATCAGTGCGCATCTCGTGGAAGGAAGGAAGAGAAGATAATGAGCAAAGACAGTAGCGCGATCCCCACCTCCGCCGTTGCAGCGACACCAGTACTGAAGGTGGATGGCGCTGATTTTCTGTTTCGTATAGTACGAATATAGGAGATGAGCAACCAGCGCGTTGGTGGGGATCTGACGGGGAGTGGCAATCGCGCGGTGCAGCCGCAACGTTTGCCCGATGGTCCGGCACACCCTATTGTGTCTGCACCCCGCCGCGCGGGTGTGACGGCCACCGGCAAGTGGAGAGCGACTCCAGCCAGGGTCTGGGGACGGGCGAGGCAAGGCAAGGCGTTGTTGGTGTTGATGATGATAATGATGATGCTGGTGATGCTGATGTGGATGACGATGATGACGGCGATGGTGGCGGTGATTGTGATGATGATGCTGACGATGTTGATGTTGATGATGATGGTGATAATGACGACAACGGTGATGATGATTATAACGATGATTATTACGACGAGGCGGGGGAGGTGGACGAGGAGGAGGAGAGAACCAGTGTACATCCAACACGCATCGACGATCTTGTCATCCACCCTCCCTCCAGTTTCTTTCTTCACAGCTCCCCACAACAATGCGTTCTCATAGCAGGCAGGGCCCCGTTGGAAGACAGCTGTCTGAGAATCCTCAATCGTGCTAAAACATAATTCATGGGATTTCATCGCCGCGAATCAACGTGACTGTTGCGTCCTGACAATCCTAAAGCATGCCAGATTGCCTCGCATCAACGTGATTGTTGCGTCCTGTCACTCCTTCATCGTTCCAGAACACCATCCTGAGACTTCAACCCTACGAGTACCTGAGAGTTATGCGAACTTTTACGATGAAAGTGCGCGGCGCGAAAGCGAGAACCACGTTTTGAAAATGAGCCGCCCTCAATCTTTGAATCGGTTGCAAACTTTCATGACGAATGTGCGCGGCGCTCAGGCGAGAGAAACATTCAGAAACATGGGCCGTCTTCCATCTTCGAAACTGCTGCATACTGTTAATTGGAGTGTGTGTGGCGCTATGGCGAGGGCAATGCTTTGAACACGGGCCGCCCTCCATATCTGAAACTGTTGCAACATTATAGGGTGAATGTGCGCGGAGCGGCAATTTCGAGAGCCACATTTTGAAAATGGACCGCCCTCCATTTGTGAAGCTGTTGCAATTTCCAAGCCTCCGAATTACATGTGTTGGGGAAGTTTCAGGCGAAACGCCCGGCCCGCCCTACCGACTTGCTTGTGGGCGCGACAGGGAGGATATGTTTATGCGGAAAAGGGATGGGGCAGGGGGAAGAGTGGAAGACAGGGAGGAGGGAGGAGGGAGGGAGGGACGGGGTGGAGGCTGCAGACTGAATGCATGAAGCGGCATCTGCTGCCAGTGCGCCCAATGTGTGCGACCTGCGCCCCGCGCAGTTTTCGAGAAAACCTGCCTGGCCCTTCGGGCCAAGGCCCCAAAACGGCCGCCCACTGTGGGCGCCACGGAACTCAGAGAAATCCACCCGGAGCTCCGAATGTTCCTGT